CCAAAATGCTGCATTTAGCGTGAAAACGTTGAATTTAAAACGACGGGAAACTGAGTGTGCCTCAGAGAAATCCAACCTCCTCGCCACGGATGCATTCGAAGGCAGCACTTGCCAAGAGCCGATTACCTGCTGGCAAAACTGTAATGGTTTCCCCTTCCAGGGTTTGTTTAGAAGCAAGCTGATAGCGGTTTTGACTCCCACAGAGAATGGCTTTTTCACTGGCGGAGCCGAACCCATGCATTTTACCATGAAAGCAGCGCTACTTACCACTATGTCATGCCAGCTTGACATTTACATTTTGAGCGGAAAATATTAAAGTAATGCCATGTATTACAGTTTTTATACGAAGAAATGTGAAATAATACCTTTGCACTATTTTGCATTAGCAATATAAGCGTGGGCATCAGAGTGTCCATTGCAGTCACCATGCCAAGGCCAAGCCTTTCACAGTAGAAACTATAAAAAGCAACAGATACACCACACCATTAGCTGATTTCTTCATCAACCATTCAACGGAATTTCGAACACTAACGTTTGTTTAATAATACAAATCATTCAGGTTGACTGAAAGCCGATGCTAATCTGGACTTGAGAGAGACGACAAAACCCAAAAATCGTGATTTTTTCTCATGAAATGCATTGCTTTCGCCCTGGGAAACGCAACCACTCCAGCCATGTCATTTATAAAATTAGATTTGAGTGAACATACGCGATTGTCACACATGCTTCACGGCACAGCTGCGATCGTAAATCCTTCACCGAAATGAGCAATGCTGCCTGGATTTCACGCATTTCTTCCGAAAAATTCGAATAATCCATACCACCACCAATTACCACTGCACGTAGCATTTTTAGCTGAAAATTCATTACAATTTAAGTTGTGCACATAAGAATGGCCTATGAAAAAAAGCACAATTGCTGAAATGGATATACCAAAAACATCAAGAACACATAGGCAATCGATGTGGAGATCCTATGTTAGTGGTCTCACTGGAAAACTTTAGTACACTCGATGCAGTAATGTCAGGCCATCGATCGCGAACAGCATGACTTCAGTTAAAAGTAACCGCACGCTTGATGTATGTGCGCCACCTCTTCGACTACCACCTCAGTGGGTCACTCATTTTCTCAAGTGTACCATACTCGACGTCCACCAGTAGTCAGTAAGGCGAGTAACGTGCCCTGCTCTTGCATTTATAATTAAAAAATACCCTTAAGCAGCCTAAATTTGCATTGATAATTTTCGTGCGTACCCTTCCTTTCCCCTTCCATTCAATACGTGGGAGGGACGTGCAAAACCTTTCCTCATAATGTGAAGTTTTCCAAATGTTGATGTAAATGTGCTTTTTAATTGAAAAACTGCAAAAAAATTAACTAAATTCTAGTTAATCCCAAACTCTTCTACAAATGTGGCCACATGAAATGAAGGAAGATGATATCATATCAAGTTATGTACACAAAAGAATTCAGTGCAGCAGCTTGAAAAGCTCAGTAACCCAGAATCTCCTGCAAGCTCGCGGCTGCTAGACATAATAGAAATTTACAAGAAACTAATTAAATGAAAGCTCGTGAATTTTGGGGAAAATGAGACCTCGCAACCACTGAAACTATAGGAACCTCGCGGCGGCTTCTAAGTTTTCTAAAAGCTCGCAATCAAAATATGGTTTATTTTACGCAATCATACCGCAGCGACACGTCGATTCCAGTCCAAGTTTGTATTTTGCATTGTGGCGCATGCTTCGCTTATATGCTCCCTCAGCTGCTTCACCGAATAAATCTGAATGAAAAGCAGTGAGCTAACTCGCAGTTCACAGCCAAACAGAATTTTACGAATAATTTCTGGCTGTGATGGAAGTCCAGTGATCGTCGCCTAGTGTGTAATCTTGGATAGTACTGAGCCCGGATGAAACTGGGAACTCGGATGAGCGATCAAAAAGTGCATCAGAGAATTAGTTGACTGCATGACAGAGTAGTCTCTCATCAAGCACTTCTCCTTCGAAGAACGAAAGCAACGGAACGAACTTAAAACCCACCAGCAGCAAGCTGGCCATCAACTGATAAAGCAACTTCAGACAAAACAACTATGGACAGAATGCCAGACATGCACTGACGATGTGTGATTAAGCAACTTCTAATTCCGTAAATTTGAGTTCAAAAGTATTTTTTGAAATCAAAAGTCAATAGCTTTGCGACCCCCCCCCCCCCCCCCCCCCCCCCCCCCCCCCC